GTGATTGGATCGCCATCTCCTGAGAGTTGGTCCTATAAAAAAATGGTCATTGCTTCAGGGCTTTACTGTAAGTGGCACAAGGACCAGGGTCAAGCAGGTGAAGACAGAGGCAGAGACCAGAGATCCATGAGGAGTGGCCAGGAACCAGCCCAAGCCAGGACAGGAACTGGAGTAGAGAAAAAGAGGACCAGGAGCACAGCCAGCCAGGATGCTTGGTTGGGGTTCAGGGAAGTGGGAGGCTGAGCCTATGCTTTCCAGGCAGATGGGAAACCTCTGGGCTCAACTGAACCATCAGCCAAGCCTGGGCTCACCCAGCGCAGCTGGGTTGCAAACTAAATCTAGACTCTAACCAAATTGCAGACTATTTCTAGACCCTACCCTACAAAGTAAAGAATGACTTTTGGGAAGAGGTAAAACTACGTTTAAGACCCTCAGCTTGCTGAGGTAACAGGGGTGAACATAGAGTGCACAATGGCTGGTGAGCAATGGGAATGGGCAATGACTCACAGACAGCTGGCTGTGCATGGCAACCATGGGTCTAAAGCATGCTAGGTCTTGTGCTAGGGCTTTGCACTGGATGGTCACCACAGATAAAAGGAGATCCTGAGACCTGGGGAGGCTAAGTGATGTAAGTAGCTGAGCTGGTATTGGCTAACTCGCATTCATTCATTCATTCAGCAAACATTGAGTATTTGTTCGATGCAGGCACTATGCCAGTTTTCCTGGGGACATCCCGCCCTCCAAGAGCTGAGGCTGAGATGTAGTAAAAGATGTCAGGGAGACGCCCCAAGGAAGGTGAGGCTAGCAGAAGGAAAAACATGAACAACACAGGCATGGAGACGTGTGGTGAGGGAGGGGAGGGGAGGCAGGAGAAGTTCCAGCAGTAGTGTGTTGCCAGCACTGGAAAAGGAGAAGGAGGTGGAGTCATCTAGTGGCTGCTCGAGATATTGCATGCAAGGAAAGGAAAATCACGATGGCTGTCATTCACTGAGCATACTATATGCTTTCTTTACATCCATTAACTCATTCACTCTTCACCACAACCTCATAAGATGGGCCTCATTTTATCCCTAATGTGCATATTCAGTCCCTGATATACCCTTGTTAGGGTACATCCCGCTAATATAAAATTGGCAGGATGAGATTTGCTCAGGGAAATTTGGCTTCAAGCTCACGCACATAGCCACTAGGCTACACCTGCCTCGAGGAGTTTAGATTCCTCTCGCAAGTGTGAATGGCTGGATTCTAGCAGGAAAGATCTCCCTAGCTGCAGTGCAGAGGAAAATTTGGGGGTGAAAATGAAAACAAGGGGGCAGGCAGCTGCAAACATCAGGCAAGATCGAGGCTTGAAGCCGGGGAACTGGGAGTGGCAGTGGAGGGAGATGTGTTGGAAAGTGAAACTCAGGGGCTGAGGGAGAGGGGGATTCTGGGTGACTCCCTTATCTCTGGTCTGGGTGAATGGGTGCCACTTACAGGAACAGAGAACTCAGGTTGGTGAAAGATCAAGAATTCCATTTTGGACCTGAGGTGCCTGTGGAGCTGTGCAGGAGGGAATGGAGCTGAAGGTGCTGATCTGGAAGCTGAGACTTTACTGGAAGCAGTGTAAGTGAGTGCAAGGGATAAGGTCTCCATGTCAACACACAGCTCTCGGAGACCTCCTATATGCCAGGCCCATGCAACACACTTGCACATTGCAATAAAGAGGTGTGTGTGGTCCGCCTCACAGAGTTCAGAGTTCACAGTCTTGTTCAGAGAGATGGGCAGCATGACCAGGGTGAGTTTGCAGGCTCATAGGAGCTTGATGAGCTGTGGGCAGATGGTCAGGAACAGCTTCCCAGAGAAAATGGTGATTATCCTATTATACTGAGAGCAGAAGAATCAGATAGACCATCTTACCTTTCAACAGGGAGCTGGACAATAGTGTCTTTGGTGAGAGCAATCCCAGCAGAGTGTTGGGGAGAGAGGCAAGGCTACAGGCACTGAGTAGTGAGTGAGAAGGATGGAGTGGACACAGCAAATGCCAACCACTCCTCTTAGATGCTTGACAAGGTCCCTCCCCACTTTCCCACATGCATGCTTCCAAATGGACTGCATGCTCTGCAAAGGCAAACACTGTTTCCTTCTTTGTCTCCCCATTTCACACACACACACACACACACACACACACACACACACACACACACCCCAAAGAGAACCCTATGCTGGGATAGAATTAGCCATAGATTTAAAGTCAAAAGGCCAGGGTTCAATGTCACTAACTGGCTATGCAACCTTGGGCAAATCACTTTTCTCTCTCTGAGTCTGCATTTTTTTCCTCTAAAACTTGGGCTCAGTTGTAACCACCTGTAGGATCATTGTGAGGCTCCAATCAGAAAGTGTCCTACACATCATACGGTAGCCCTCAGATTCAATGTAGAAAACAGCACCAGCAAATGTAAATTAGTTCAACCATTGTGGAAGACAGTGTGGTGATTCCTCAAAGACCTAGAGCCAGAAATACCACTTGACCCAGCAATCCCATTACTGGGTGTCTACCCAAAGGAATAAATCATTCTATTATAAACATACATGCGGCCAGGTGTGGTGGCTCACACCTGTAATCCCAGCACTTTGGGAGGCCCAGGCGGGTAGATCACCTGAGGATAGGAATTCGAGACCAGCCTGAACAATATGGTAAAACCCCGCTTCTACTAAAAATACAAAAATAAAAATAAAAATTAGCCAGGCATGGTGGCATGCACCTGTAGTCCCAGCTACTCGGGAGGCTGAGGCACGAGAATTGCTTGAACCCAGGAGGAGAAGGTTGCAGTGAGCAGAGATTGTACCATTGCACCTGCTCCAGCCTGGGTGATGCAATGAGACTCCATCTCAAAAATAAAAATAAAAAAATGATACATGCAACCGTACGTTCATTGCAGCACTATTCACAATAGCAAAGACATGGAATCAACCCAAATGCCCATAAATGATAAACTAGATAAGGAAAAGATGGTACACATGTACCATTGAATACGATGCAGACATAAAAAGGAATGAGATCGTGTACTTTGCAGGGACATGTATGGAGGTGGAGGCCATTATCCTCAGCAAACTAACACAGGAACAGAAAACCAAATACCGCATATTCTCACTTATAAGTGGGATCTGAACAATAAGTACACATGGACACAGGGAGGGGAACAACATACACTGGGGCCTGTTGGGAATGAGAGTGGGGAGAGCATCAGGATAAATAGCTAATGCATGCTAGGCTTAACATCTAGGTGACGAGTTGACAGGTGCAGCAAACCACCATGTTTTTACCTATGTAACAAACCTGCACATCCTGCACATGTAGCCTGGAACTTAAAATTAAATTAAATTAAAATTAAAAAGAAAACAGCCCCACCACCATCAAGGAAAGCCTCTTCCCAACCTCCAATTCCAGTTCACTAGCTCAGCCTGTCTCATTCCCCTTTTTCTAGCTCCCCTCTCCTCCCTGCCCCTTTCCTCACTTTGCCCCCAACTGTCCTCACCATTCCACCCCATACCTCCAAGCTCATAGCTAGAACTGACCAAAGGCCCAGTTATTCATTTACAAAGTCCATGTCCAGAACTGTACCAGCCTCAGCGGTGTGGAAGTGTGGCCAGATCCATTGTGTTGATGCCTCAAGAGATCCAGGCTGGCAGATGGGTTTGGCACATTCTGTACCTGCCAGCCACGGAGAGCCTCCAGCCTACTTCTCACTCGACTCCTTACATGACCCTGGTCAGGTACTGTCCCTTCCTTGGGCTTAAATTCCATAGTGTAATATTAGTAAACTGGGCTAAATGATCCTAAGGACCTTGCTAGCTCTGACGTACCATGATCTTGCATCCAATTCAGTTCACTCTGTAATAAATAATCAGAAAAACCATAGTAATTTTTAAATAGCTAACATTTATTGTGTACTGTATGCTAAGCACTATTCTATGCATTTCATGTGAATGTTTAACATTCATAACACCACTTGTCATGCAGACATCATTTACTGCCCCAATTTACAGTGAACTGGAGCTCCGAGAATTAAGTTGATTTATCCACAGTCTCAGGCTGCCAAGTGTCCAAGCTGTGCTACTTCCAAGCTGCCCGACCCAGACCTGAGCTCTTAACCTCTCAATGGGCATCCAGGTCGAAAGCAGAATCTCTGGCTCAAGTGGCGACTGCCCAGCTGAGTTTCAGAACTCCACCATGCACCCAACTGCTCCTCCAGGGCTTCTATATGGATGTGTTGCAGGCTCCGAAATGTCACACAGCCGCGCCGCATCCTTATCCCACACATGCTCCTGCTTGTCCCTGGCATCTGCCATTCTCAATGCCATTCACTAGCCTAAATGATACCTTCGAATCAGAGGAAGGCACCCCTCCCTCCAGGGATACGGGCCCACACCTGGTCTCAGGGACCTGTTAGTGAAGGCACAGTCTATACAGCCCAGAGCAGTGCCCCTGATGCCATCATCTTCCAGTTTACTCGGGGCAGACACTGATATTCATCCTTAATACTTTCTCTCTCTCTCTCTCTCTCCCTCTCTCTCTCTCTCTCTCTCAAGCTCTCTCTATCCTGTTTCTTCAAGGGGCCAGAGTCTCCAGGGAACAAGGTCCCAGAAATGATGCCATCTCTCACCCTCTGGAAAACACATGGCCCAGGACAGAAGCCACTGGACTCCCAGACCCCTGCCGAAAGAAGAGGTGTAATGTCAGGACTAGGATGGCTAAGCGCCCAAGCTGACCCCACCAAAAGTGCAGGGAGGTTGAGGTGTTCGCAGACTCGGCCACTGGGGCCGCAAGGAGGGGGCTCAGAGGTCCCACTGCCCTTGCATTCCACAGGAAGACCCAGTTGCTGGCATGACCTGAGAGGTTTCTGGGATCACGCCATGGAAAGGCGTCTAGTCCCAGTGTGAGGGGGAAGAGCGGCGCCTGAAGCTCAGCTTCCCAGGCTCTGCTGAATCTACCCTTCCTTTAGTGCGCGCAGCCACCAGGTGGCAGCCGAGGCCACGGGCAGGCAGAACAGCGCTCTAAACTGTAGGCCTGCCAGGCAGCAGCGTTCCCAAGGGCTCCCAGGACCTTCAACCAGAAAGAGAGAGTGAGCATATGCGCATGTGTATGTCTGCGCCCGTGCAGGGAGGAGGGGTGTGAACAGACACTGCTGGACAGATGGCTGGAGTTTAGTCCCTTCCTTCGGGACTCTCCACCACTCCGGCTTCCCTTCTCCTGCCCAGCCCTGTCCTGGGTGCACAGAGAGGGAAGTCACTCCATTCCTGCCCTTGAGGAGCTCCCAGACCCGGGGCAGGAGCGGGATGCAGACAACTAGACAGCATCCTGGGGTGAGTGGAGTGAGTGGAGCAGGTGGGGCGGGTGCAAAAAGAGGGAGGAGCAGGGGCTGAAGTTGCCCAGAGGAAGTGCTGAACCCAGGAGTGGGGAAAGGAGCGTCTGGGAAGAAATGGCATCTACGTTGATCATGGAGGGCTTTCTGGCAAGTCTCAGGAGCAATAACAACACGGATGTCATCTCTGTTTCCTCCCAGCAGCCATGCAAGGAATGTACTACAGAGCCAATTTTACTGGCAAAGGAGGAATGGAGGATCTGAAAGGCTAGGGGATCCCACAGGCAGTGGGGAGCAGGTCTGGAATTTGAACCAATCGGCATGATTCCCACGCTCAAGCTTTTGGCCACCGTCCGCACTGCCAGGGACAGAAAAAAAAACCTGGGAGGAGAGCCAAGCCAAGCTGGGGAGTCAGGACCTCCCAGCCAGGTCTGGATGGGAGGTAGGTGCCTCCACCCTGGTCCCAGAGCAAGTTCTGCTGGCTTCAGCCACCTGACTTGCCTGTGAAGTTGGGCAAAGAGGCCAGAGCAGACTGTGTGTGATTCTGGCCCCACCCCCAGCACCTCTACCCCCACCTTTCCTACCCCTAGGCTGCGGGAAGAGGCTTTGCCCAGCAATAGTCCTGATCTGATGGCTGCTTGAAGCACAATAAACAGATAGTATTTCTGCACATGTCACTCTGAGTATGAGGGCAGTAATCTTGAAACTCCCCGTGACCACCTGGCACTCTGGAGATGGAACTCCGCAGCCTGTTTTCAAAGCCAGTTCCTGGTTGGAAGCTCCTCTTCAAGTCTAACAGAAGTAAGCAGTGCTGCAGTCTCCCTTCAACTGTGCAGTGGCTGGGTGGAGGCTTTTCTTTCCTGCCTGAGTTTGGGTATTATCTCTAATGTAACCCTATGAAACTTACACGTTTTAGGTGGGAGAGGGGAAAACAAGGTGCAAGCCCTGTTCCAGGAAGAGCAAAAATGTCTTCAACAGTAAGACATCCTGGTCTGAGAGCCAGGGCTTGGGGCAGCCTGTGGTGCTGGCAGAGAGCTGGTGGAAGGGACCACGGAGAGATGATGCCACACACAGAAGTGAGACCAATGAGATCGTGGGAACTGCCCGGCCAAGGGCTGGCATCAAGGAAGCTTGGGAGTCAGGGGACAGCTGGGAAGGGAACAACCAACAGAACCAGCTGAAAACTGAAAAGGGATGCAAGGGAGAAAGAGGAGGTGGGCGCTGAGCTCAGGTGGAGGAGGAGGAAGGGAGACAGGACAGAGAGAGGCAGAAGATAAGACAAAAACAGGCGGAGAGACCGAGAAACAGGGAGACAGAGATGGATAGAGGCTGGGAAAGACAAAGAGGAGAAAGACCTGGGCAGGAGAGGTCCTATGTGTGGAGAAAAGGTTGGGAAGAGAGCAGGAAAGAGAGAAGGAGCACAGGGCTTTGGGGGTTCCCACCGGACCCAGCCCACCCCTCCTGCAGGCTGGGTCTCTCCCTTGTCCACCACTTACGGAGCTCAGGATCCTCTCCCTCAGTGCTAGGGGCGGAGAGCTCGCCTCCAGCCCCGCCCTAGTCCGGAGGCTCCCCCTCCCCAGGCCCTCGGAGGCCGCCCCTGAGACTGGCTGTGCAGCGATAGATGGTGGGGGCCCAGCTGGTGCGTTATCAGCCTTCTCCAGGAGCGCGCCTGAGCCACTCCGTGGCTGCCTGTCTGAGATTAGGCCCCCTGAGGGTCATTAAGCGCCACCCTGGCCTGGGCCCAGCCTCCTTTGCCTCCTCGATCTGGCCAGGCTGGCAGGTGGGAATGAGCGATAAGGATTGGGGGTCTCAGCGGTTCTGGGGCCAGCAGCTTCCTGCTCCCAGCCCCCGATCGGGGCAGGAACATGGGGTGTGGGTGAGGGGCTGTAAGGTCAGTGCTGGCCCAGCCCCTGCAGGAGCCCTGTGGGTTCCCACTCTCTTAGATCTGCCCATATTGAGCAAGACAGAATGAGAAGGGGGACAAGGAGGCTCTTAGAGAGGCCCCAGACAGCTGATGGGGAGCAAGGTAAGCCCGGGCAGAAGCAGGCTTCTCCTGGCAAAACCTCACAGGTGTGAGGAGCTGGGATTCACTTGCTACAGGGAGACAGGGAGGGTGGCTCTGCCTTCTGGCCCTGGCAGGCTGGTGGGGTGACCTGACTCGAACCCACTCCCACCCCCCAGGGACAACTGACGGCAGAGCTGGGAGGAAATGTGGCCTCATGAAAGGAGAATCAGATCCGGCAGCCAGAAGCTTCCCACCAGGGGGCAGGAAAGGAAGAGGGGGCTGTGTGTGCCCTAGCGGAGGCCTGACCCTCTAGGAACCTCTGTCTCTCCTTCAGTGAGTGGAGAAGCGGGGCTGGCTGCTGGCCTGGCTTTGCCCTCTGGTCTAATCAAGGAAGACTTCCCAGAAGAGGAGGAACCTTGGCTGGGTCAAGAAAAAACAATGGGCAGAGTTTAAACGGGCAGAGGTGGGGTGAAAAGGCATGAGTCACAGAAAGCCACGTAAGCAAAAGCCTAGAGTAGAAATCACAAGCTGTAGTTCATTAAGTTGAAGCCCTGAGAGGGGAGGTGACTTGTCTCAAGACACACAGAAAGGCAGGGATAGGCCTGCAGCAAAGCTGCTGCTCCCCCACCCCCAGGCCTCTTCCCTCTGCTACTGTCTGCATCCTAAACCCAATGAGGTGAGAAGAGATTATTTCCATTTAAGATGAGTCTTCCCCAGTGGTACTTGGTGAAGCCTTAGAATAGCAAAAGAATGGTCATAACATGGAACAAGGGGGCTGTGACACGTTGAGGCGAGTGGCAAAGGGAGACCTTTGGGACAAGGTGGATGGCCTCCTACCTTCTGGCCCCACTTCTCTGGATCTGGGAATTATCCTGGGTGAGTCCATCTCAGATTATCACCCAGGACAGAGACAGAAGCTGTTCCCATAAGGCCAACAGTCACAGAGGTGAGGGGCCTCCAGGTTCCGCCAGCCAGGCAAGGCATGCCTCCCCTCTGCCCTGCTCCTACTAGGACCCAGTTTCCTGATCCTCCCGTCCCTACCCCGACTCCCACTCCAGGACTGGGCGTTGGGCGAGGCAGGCATAGGCAAGGACTGGGCTGTCCTCCAGCTCTGCCGTGAGACTGGCCAAATCTTCCATGGAGAGAAAGCTCAGCTCAGAGAGGACAGCAGCTTTCCCAAGCTCACACACAAGTTGGCAGAGGACCCAGGACTCACATCTGGGCTTCCTGAGTCTCAACCCAAGACTCCTTCCTGACACTTCCTATGCCAGAGCCAGCACAGAGGGCCACCAGAGGGAGACAGACTAGATCTGTGGGAACCCACCGTGACACCTCCAGCACAGAGGCAAAGGGTGAACGGCACTGTGCAAGGAAAAGCCCAGAGCCTCAGGGATGAAGGGTGCTTTGGGGGCGGGGACTGGAGCAAGGGTAGAGTGGGTGAGCTCCCCGGCCCATGGGCCTCTGACATCCTCTTCCTTCCCTGCATACATGAAACTGATCAGCACTGGGGGCACCTAGCTCATATCAGGGTCTGCCCTGCCCTGCCCTGCCCTGGGAAGCCGTGCCCGGCGGCTCTGGTTGAAGAAAGGGTTTGGCCTGAGGGGACAAGAAACACCCCACTGGCAGAAATGGGCTCACCTGTCCTGGTCTTCCTGCCTCCCAATTCTCCCACGTGTCATCAGACACTCCCATTTGAGGGTGCTTCACTCTCAAACACCAGAAAAGGCACCAACCCTCTCTTACCCTCACCCTGGCCACACACTCTCAGTCCCTCCCCAGCCTGGGCCCCCTCGGTCCCAGCTGCCCTGTGGGTACAGGGGCTTCCTGGATAATCCCCCAAAGCCACTATGACAAGTCAGAAGACGATTGTCGTGATTCAGAAAGCAAGATGGGGACTCACTGGAAGCCTGAGGGGCTGTTGCTGGGCCTCAGCCTCAGAAATACAAGAAGTCTTTATTTCACAGGATTTGGGGCCGCTTCCACAGTTATGGGGAAGGACGTGCGAGCAGGATGGGAGGTGCTGAGCTGACTGTCCTCTCCAGAAGGCTCTTCTGAGCTGAGCGGGAGACCCCAGGGCCACAGCTGAGCCCCAACCTAGACACAGTCTGAGCTCCAGCCTTGGCTGGCTATACTTCAGGAGAGGGGAGGGCCGGCGTCGGGCTGGAGGGAGTCGGCCCACTATTGCAGATTCCACACAAAGAAGGAGGGGGCTTGGGTGGTAGCACTGGACATCCATCCCAGGTGCCTGGGAGTCTTGGGGTTGGAGCCACAGACAAGGTTACATCGGGGTGCTGCGGACCTTGCCTTCCTCCTCGGGGACATTCTCATAGGCATTCTCATGCTCACTGGACCTGAAAGAAGAAGGCATGGGCCTGGTGGGTCATCACTCCTCCCATTCTATCCCCTTCTCCCTGCCCCATCCTGCACTTGTGACAATAATAGCTTCCAGAATAAATGCTTGACTCCCAGAAGGGGATCCTCCTGACTACATCTGGGCTTATGCATCTGAGTCTGGAGGCCTCTCAGCATCCCCTCCCTGACACCTATCTCCCTCCTCCTGTGGACTGCTCCACCAGTGGGTCCTACTGAGCCCATCCCCCAATGAGCTCCATCTCCCACTGAGCCCATCCCCCACTGAACCCATCCCCCACTGAGTCCATCCCCCACTGAGTCCATCCCCCCACTGAACCCATCCTCCATTGAACCCATCCCCCCACTGAGCCCATCCCCCGCTGAGTCCATCCCCCACTGAGTCCATCCCCCACTGAGCTCCATCCCACACTGAGCCCATCTCACACTGAGCCCATCTCCCACTGAGCCCATCCCCCACTGAGTCCATCCCCCACCAAGCCCATCCCCCACTGAGCCCATCCCCCACTAAACCTATCTCCCAACAAGCTCCATCCTCCACCAAGCTCCATTCCCCACTAAACCCATCCCCCTCTGAGCTCCATCCTCCACTGAACCCATCTCCACTGAGTCCATACCCCACTGAACCCATCCCCCCACTGAACCCATCCCCCCACTGAACCCATCCCCCCACTGAACCCATCCCCCACTTAGTCTTTCCCCCACTGAGGCCATCCCCCACTTAGTCTTTCCCCCACTGAGGCCATCCCCCACTGAACCCATCCCCCACTGAACCCATCCTCCACTGAACCCATCCCCCACTGAGCTCCATCCCCCACTGAGCTCCATCCCCCACTGAGTTCCATCCCCACTAAACCTATCTCCCAGCAAGCTCCATCCTCCATCTGAAGCTCCATCCTCCACCAAGCTCCATCCCCCACTGAACCCATCCCCTACTGAGTCCATCCCCCACTTAGTCCACCCCCACTGAGTCCATCCCTCACTGAACCCATCCCCCACTGAGCTCCATCCCCTACTGAACCCATTCCTCACTAAGTCCATCCCCGACTGAGTCCATCCCCCACTAAGTCCATCCCCCACTGAGTCCATCCCCCACTGAACCCATCCCCTACTGGGTCCATCCCCCACTTAGTCCATCCCCCACTGAGTCCATCCCCCACTGAACCCATCCCCCACTGAGCTCCATCCCCTACTGAACCCTCACTGAGTCCATCCCCCACTGAGTCCATCCCCCAGTGAGCCCATCCCCCACTGAGCTGTATCATCTACTGAGCTTTCCCCTCACTGAGTCCCTCACTCATTTGTCCCTTCCTCCATTGAACCCCTTGTGCCCATGGTACCCACTGCCCTATGAGTCCCCTCCCCTGCGCTGAACCCTACCCTCCCAAGTCTCTGTCCCCTTTCGGAGCCCTCGCCCCACACAGAGGCTGCGTTTCCCCCACAGAGCCCTGCGATTCTCACAAAGCCCGCATTGCCTCACTAGCTTTTGCCCACATGAGTCCCGGTCCTCCCCAGCCACCTCCCCCTAGCAGGTTCTCCTTAGGCCCTGGGAGCACACACAGGGCAGCCATGCACTGCACCTCACCTGAAACTGGCCGCCATTGAAGAGTACCTTCCATCCGTTCCCACCAGGACTCCATCTGCCTTGTTTCCGACGGTCAGGATCATGTGCGCAGGCTCCCTGGGGACGAGACTCATCAGTGGGGCTCCTCAGTGGGGCCCTCCTCATCCAAGCAGACCCTATTCTGGGTCCTGGTTCTCACAAGGCCGAAGGCCAGCAACTGCCCTTCCCAGAGCTGTGTGCAGCGGGGCCTGTCAGTCACGGCTTCTGGCCCCACCCATGGGGTCTCACACTTTCTCCCCACTCCATGGTGGGGGGCCAAATAATTGCAAAAGACTTATCCTGAGTCCAAAGCCCTCAGTTCAGCCTCCACAGCAGGCCCTGCAGGATGCAGTGTCTGCCTCAAATTTCCCCCGGTCGTGCCTTGGGCAGTGGGCATAGATGTGGTTGGTGGCCCTTCAGGCAGAGCTGGGGCAGGTGGAGAAAGCCTATCTGAAGAGCATCCAATGAAAAGCTCCTCACCTCTTACTCAAGTTTAAACCCCCTGCAATGTGGGCTCTCCCTGAAACCTCCCAGAAGCTGCTCTCACGAGGGTCACAGGGAACCGAACACCTGCTCATTTCCTTAGACATCCCACAGGCACCCCAGACTTCATACGTCTCCAATTAAACAGTTGCCCCTACATTTGCTCGTCCTCCTGTGTTCTGGGCCTTGGTGAGTGATCCCCCATGAGAAACCTCGATGCCATACCTGCCTTCCTCCCGTCGGGTCCACTGCTGCCTGTGACCACCAACTCCCAGGGTGCCTACCTCCTAGACAGCGCTCTTCACTTCATCCTCTTGGCCACCGCTACAGTCCAGACCCCCTCCTGAACTCATGCCGGCCCCCTCACCGCTCTCCAGGCCTGCAGACTGGAGACTGCCCCACCGCCACCGTGCATATGCCACGAGGCAGCCAGGGTCATTCTGCTAAGGCCGTGTCTCATCCCGAAACTGGCTTAAAAACTTGTCACGGAGGCAGGGCACGGTGGCTTATGCCTGTAATCCCAGCACTTTGGGAAGCCGAGGCAGGCGGATCACGAGGTCAGGAGTTGGAGACCAGCCTGGCCAACATGGTGAAACCCGTCTCTACTAAAAATACGAAAATTAGCTGATAGTGGTGTCAGGAGCCTGTAATCCCAGCTGCTCAGGAGGCTGGGGCAGGAGAACCACTTGAACCCAGGAGGCGGAGGTTGCAGTGAGCCGAAATCAAGCCTCAAGCCATTGCACTCCAGCCTGGGCAACAAGAGCAAAACTCCAGCTCCAAAAAAAAACAAAAACAAACACAAAAAATAACAAAAAACAACTTGTCACTGGATTCCTACTCACTTAGGTAAAGCCCAAAGCTCAGGTCATTCGTGTGCAAGAGCCTGGTTGGCCTGGCCTACCCACCTCACCAGCCTCATCTCAGGTGTCTCCATCCCTTTCTCCACCCACTGAGCCACTGGTGTTTCCTCAGCAACCCTGCATGGGGCTAGCACTCAAGCCACCAGGCCATCTTTGTGAGATCTGGGAAGAAATGCCCTTGGGACAGAGGCAGCCTTGCCTGAGGGTCCTGACCTAGTGAGTGCAGACTGAGTTGGATTTCAGCCCACCCGCTCTTCACCTGTGTGTGTCTGTCCCCAGCAGCCCTGGTGCCATACCCCTAACTCAGGACCTGGATGTACCCTTCCCTCAACTGCAGTGCTCTTCCCACGCCACTCTATCCTGGTAGTGACTCCTCCTCGTTCTTCAAGTTTCAGGATAAATGTGCAATGGGGAGGCCTTCTCTGACCACCCCAGACCGGGTCAGGCCCTGCAGTGTCCTCTGCACTCTCCCTCAGCAGCAACTCTTGAACTTCTGACAGCTCACTGTAGTCTGAGCCTATGAGGGCAGGAGGTGTGTCTGTCCCATGCCCTCTCCGTACCACAGCTGACCCACCAGGAGGGACCACCCCTTCTAGAGGTCCTTACAGCCCCCATCACAGGCTGGGCTGCTATCCTGGCTCTGCAGAAACACAAAGACTCCAAGAAGAGAAGTCGTTTCTCCAAAGCTCACAGGGAGCGGGTACCAGAGCTGTGGGGCCCACAGAGCCCAGGTCTGGGAGCCAGCAAGCCTAGGCTCTCATTCTGACTGTCACCAACCCACCCTATGACCTTGAGCCTCAGTTTCCCTTCCACACACGGGGAGGTTTGGACACAGGGTTTCTGAGGGCCTTCTCACTGCTACTAGAGCAAGAGCAGTGGTCCTGGGCCCACCCTGCCTGCTCAGGGGCCCTTGGGCAGCACTCACGGTTCCTCCTGGCACCAGAAGTGGTTGACTGCAAAGGCGATTGCCACGAGGACCAGGAACACAGCCACCGCGATGAGGCCCTGCATCCAGGGCTGAAGGTTTCCCAGGCCTAAAAAAGGGAGAGGGGCTGTAGCAGACGGGGCCACAGTGGGGCTGCATGTGCAGGAGAGCGAGGGGCCTCACTCCCCAAGGGCCCCACCTGTGCTGAAGGCCCTCAGCCAGCTGCCAGGACGAAGGAGACATTCTGGGGAGGCAGGGGTGGGATACGGCCCATCTGACCCACTCAAGCATCTTAAGCTCCACTGAGCTTAGGAAAAGGAGGGAGTTGGAGGAACGACAGAGGCTCAGAGAGAGAGGAGTTGGAAGGAGTGAGAAGCCAAGGAGGGAAGAGCCTCAGAGTGCTGTATCTGAGATCTAGGCATCCCAGAGCCTCTTTCCTTCCCCAAGGGGGGTCACATGCAGGGCTCAGGGAGTACCTGGGCCCCAGGGACCAAAGGGCAGCCCCCTGGACAGCCAACCTAGGCCTTGCAGCTGGGAGTGGCTCCCAGAAGGCTGAGG